CCCGGCCCTGGGAGGGGTCTCGGGTGATATTGGGCCTTGAGAGGGGGAATCGGAGTGCTGTGTGGGTCTGAGAGGGTACCGGGGGCGATCAGCTGCTCCGGGGGAGGACATTGGACGCGGACTGGGGCTCTGGGGCGGGTCCTGGCCTTGGGAGGGCTCCGAACGAGTATGGGGTCCTGCTAGGGGTGCGCAGCGGTGGGTGCTGTGCCCTGGCGGGGGCCGAGACAGCCGGGCAGATTTCGGGGTGACCCCCCGTGCTTACCCGCGGTGACACACCCCGCGGCAGCCCGAGGACCTGATGAACATGCAGCACTGCAACCTGCTCTGCCTGCCCGAGAACTACCAGATGAAGTACTACTTCTACCACGGTCTCTCCTGGCCGCAGGTGCGATTCTTACCCCGGGGACCCCTGGATTCCCCGAATCCTGGCCCCCCCATAACCCCTTTCCCTCCCTCAGCTCTCCTACATTGCTGAGGACGAGAATGGAAAGATTGTGGGCTATGTCCTGGCCAAGATGTGAGTGTGGTTTGGGGGCCCCTTCTCCCCCACTTATCCTGTGATTTGGGGGGTTGTGGGGTTGCTGATGGGATTTGGGGGTGTCAGCCCCCCTGCTCATCTCTCCTTCGTGTCCTGTACAGGGAGGAGGATCCTGATGACGTCCCCCACGGGCACATCACATCCCTGGTAGGCAGTGGTGGTGCCTGGGGTGTCGTGCAAGGATGTTGGAAGGGATCAGAGGATTTGAATGCTTTGGTGGCGGGTTCTCGGAGTGAGTCTGAGTGTTCAGGGTACCCTTTTGGGGGGGCCGTTCGGGTCACCTGTGGGGTTTTGGGGTGTTTCTAGAGGGTCTTTGGGGTCTCTTGGAGCGGATCCAAGCATTTAGAGGGCTCCTTGGGGTCTTTTTAAGGTGTTTTGGGTTTTTTGGAGGATCTTTGGAACCAGTTAGGGGGTGTTAGGTGCTCCTGGTGGTCTGGGGATGCCAGGGGGTGTTTGGAGTGCCCATGCCTGTTCCGGGGTACCCCAGGCTGTGAAACTCTCCCACCGGCGCCTGGGGCTGGCACAGAAGCTGATGGACCAAGCCTCGCGTGCCATGATCGAGAACTTCAACGCTAAGTACGTGTCCCTGCATGTCCGCAAGAGGTGAGACCCCCCC